CTAATTAGATCTTGGGAGTGAAAGGGTTAACTCCCAGGAGTGACCAAGAGAGAATTTCTCCTTACAATATCAATACAATGTCAAGCAGACAAGTGATGAGAATAGAGAAAAATATCAGTGAGGGAATTATAAGTTGATCCAATACCAAAATCTTCAAACTAACATCACAAGAACTGTATGTCAGACTGTAAGGAAAATACCTAATGAGATCTTAGGAGTTCAAGGGTTAACATTATTTATGGACCCTTCATTTCCAGAAGTATTGTTTGAAAATCTTCTCAAATAACAGTATCAGTATTGTCAAACTAACCTTACTACTTCTTCATACTTGTAGGTGCCATCAGTTAACCAGGCAGCTTCCCTTATGGTGACAATATCTGTTCCTTGAAACCTGTGGAGATTGTAAATGTTAAGATCAGATATAAAACTATAAAACAATGTGGCTCAGTACAGCAAGCAACCAAGCTGTCATTATTACTACCTCAAAACAAGTGTTTCTTTGCCCTAAGAAAAGTTTGAGACCTGATGAGCAATTGCAATTAGAGAGAGGTCTGCAAGGGCTCTCTTGTTATTACTAAAGGGCCAGATCCCTTACAGAACTCATGCTGGCTAGCTTTCTTCAAGGCCTTAAACTTGCATTGTACTTGTGCACAAAAAAAACACTCATGCAGCAGCATCAATAATGAGGGCATTTTTGTAAGCTTGGTTCACTACCAGTACAAAAGAATGCTTCAGTTTAAAGAGATGTGACATACCTTGCTGCTATTAACATGCAGGTGATTCCAAGAAGTTGCAACTCTGATCTCTGCACTTTGCGTTGCATTAAATATTGATCTACACAGCTAACAGCGATATGAACTATCTGACTCGGAAAATCCTGTTTGACAAAGAGTAAGTGGATGTCTGAGTGCAGTGTTGACTCACAATGTCAGATCTGTCACATCACACTTTAAATTCAGGAGACTTAGAGGTAAATTAAAATTACAAATACCTTCATCACAGCTACTTCTACAAGCCAGTCAACTAAGATATATCTGAAAGTCAACAAGCAAAATTACTTTGAACTTTGAGACCAGAGTTCGGTAACAATGGCACAATTGTATTTTAGCCAGCCACATAGAAAATGAAGGTATCAAGACAAAGTTGGTAGTTTTATATAAAAGTTAACATAAAAATTAAATTTAAGAATTTGATGATGTAATGAAGCACAAAAAATGTCTCCCTCTTAGCCTCATGTCTTCAGGCTTTACAGGGCCATGTTTCATCTAAAGACGTATTCAACCTTATTTGAAATGCATCACTATCACTAAAGAACACTGGTTGAAATTCAATGCATTGTGATCAACTTAATCTATGTATGGAAGTAAATCTTTACCTCATTGTGCTGTTCAGTTCAGTTTGAAACTTAAAAAGCTTGTGGCTATTAAGTGGCCTGGATCTTGAGACAAACTGCATGGAGGCAAAAAAAAAAAAAAAAAGAAAAAAAAAAAAGGAAAAACACATTAGACCTTTACAGGGCAGTTTATTTCATATGTCTGGAAATACATGCAGTAATGAATATGGTGAAAAAATTGTCAAATCTGCCAGGTTGATTTTGCTTTGAAGAATTTGATTAAAAAATTTGTCAAAATTGTCAAATTCATTAACATTCACTTGGTTTCATGGAATTTTGTTAAATCTGCAATTTTCATCGTTGCATACATTTCTGGGCACAAGTGAAGTGGATATTTCACAGGATCATGGCATATATTTTAAAAAATGGAACATATAAACCATTCCATACAGTGGTATGCAAGTGTGATCATTTTTGATCATTTTTGACCAGAGCTTGAAAAATACTAAGGTTTGTGCATGGATTTACCTGTAATGTAAATTCTGCCACTTGTGTTTTAGTGACCCCACCCAGATTTCCTTTAGCGTATTCAAGGGCTAGAGTGAGTTGAGCATCAGGGTGATTGGTTTTGGCACAGTCTCGCAGTTCACGTAGTCTCTCCAGTTTTGAGTAAGGTTCCATTGGACCTTCGCAAAATCTTAATTTCCATAGATCATATGCAGCATGGCAAGACCCTTGCTTTGCAGCATTTTTCAGCCATTGCAGACTCTCTTCCTTTTTCTGCCCATCCTGAAATACAAGTTAAATGTACTTATTGACATAAGAGGTGGGCTGGAAAGGAAAATATTTGGCCTGCATTAAGGTGCAAATATCATGACTTAGTGCCAAAATTTTCCCATCTGGCTTGATGTAACTCAGTCTCTTTCAACTTGCATTGAGGGGCTGTATATGTTGTGCTGTGCCCCTTTTATGGCAGCTTAGGCTCTATCTGGGCCATTGCCTTTGACTTATATACAGGAACCTTCCCAAATTTCTCAATAGCAGTGTGTACAGGGATTGACAGGTTAGGGATTCTTGGAGCTTCTAATTGACTGATACATTGCTTAGCACACTGTGATCTAGTCTAGGATTGATGCTTAGCCATTAGTATTCTGACCTGCTGGAAATTTTAAAAATAGGATTCACTCTGTGCAATTACATACCTCATGCAAACTAAGGATTTTTCCTACACTGTACAACATTGAGTTATTGACCTGAAAATAGATAAATATCACTTATTAAATATGTTATGGGGGAAAAGTGTGTAAGAATTACTTCTTTAGTCTTCCCCACTGAATGGTCTACAGAATCTGGGGTCATTGTTTTGTGTTCATGAAAGAGATTCATGACACTGGTGGTGCCTCTCTCTGGTTGAGAGTATCAATAATTGACAGAAAACTGCCAGGGAGACCTGCTGAAATGCTAAGGGTAATCTGCAATGGACTTCCACACCTTCAAGGGAGAAGGGGGGGGGGAAAGAAGCCTGGCACTGGTAGATAGAGTAGAATCTCTGGCAGAGTGGGAAACTGTAAATGACTACAGAATCATAACATAAAGGACTAAGAGAACAGGCATTATTTGATGCCGGGGGGGGGGGGAGGGGAGAGGGGAGAGGGTGGAGGGTCAGAGGATTTTGGCTACATCCCAATAATATTTACCTGATCCACCCATAGAGCTCTGTAATATTCATACAATACGCCCTCATTGGCAGTCAATTTCATATATGACTATCCCCTTCCCCCCTACTTTGCAATAAATGATTACTGGTTCCTAACTATATGTTTCCCATAAACTGTATAGCTCACCACTGGATCTGAACAGAGCTCCACCATACTATTGAACACACAGGATTTACAGCACACACCAGAAGGTGCCCACGGAGGACGCACAAAAAACCATGTAAATGGTGCACCATTTTGAATGGTACTTTCAGCTTTAAAGAAGAATTCTGCCGCCAGACGACCGTTTTCTTTTGCATTGACACCTTTCTCTCCATTCTCTGAAACTGAAATTGACAGTTATTATTGGTGTAAAAATTTTGGAAAATCAGCTGTTGTAGCTCAGAAAGGTGATACATTTTGTAAGAATACTGTATACCATGTTCGCCTCTTGCAAAATAATTTTTTTTGTGCTCGTTTTTAAGGGTCGTGTATGATAAAATCTATAACAAAAATAGCACGCGTCGTTCTTAACCGATACAACAAATACTGTCTAATCAAATCACTTATAACGTTGACATATTTAAAAGGGTAATTAATATAGACGGATATTTTAGTTTTCTCAAATATCATTTCAAAATTTATGACGCTTCAGTTATTTTCTATAACAGAAAAACATTATACTTATTATATTAATCTTCTTTAGGGGTAATGCTATTTACAGAAGGTCGTGCGTTCCACTGTACGTTAAAATGATCACATACTTCCTTCGTTATACAAATGAGCGAGTCCAAGCTTGATAAGAGCTTCTGGATTCCCCAAATTGGCTGCCCTATAAAATATTAAGAATAAATAACAGAAAACTGTCACATACAAAAGCTTATGATGGATCAAACACGACTCGTCTATTCTGTTGTTTAGTGGAGTTCACTCGTTGGAAATGGAGGGAAATTCGAATGACGCGCAAAACAACCGAATTCCGTTACACGAGTCGTTCAACAAACCTTTGAAGAAGAGGCAGATTTTTGAGTGATGGCCAAACTCCAAGAAAAGAAGCTGAAATCCAGAGGCTGGATGATTCGTCTACGAGTATCTTGAGTCTAGAACAAACCTACAAAATGGAGAAAATAAAGCTGGGAAATCAACAACAAAACGAACGATCGATCAACGGTCAGAGAAAGGCCACCGTGTTTGTACGGCGAACGACTCTCCAACGGTCATACAGCCTTGGATAGTTTTGGATAAAACAAATGAAGGACCTCGCATCTGTTTAGAATAAGGGTTAGCCGAGTCTACTCACCATTCTCAGATTCATTAATTCGTTTGCTGTAAAACGCTTGAGAATGAGAAGGATGACTTCCTCTGGTAAGGCGAGAAGTGAGGCCCTCGCTCGTGATGGAATTCGCGTTCGAAGCTTCATTTTTCGAAAGCGCGGCTAAACTATTTTGTGCTAGACGATAGCGACTAATTTACAACTATTCTTAGAAAGGAAATCTGTTGTTTAGAGCACAGATTCTGTCCCAAACTACCGATGAATTAGAGAGGCACATACAACGGCTGGTTTTCTGAGAGATTTGATACCGTTGGTGATAAACGCTCCGCGCTGTCAGTTCACGCTCCGCTTCGCACGATCTGATTGGTTGCTTAGGACTCTGGGGCCTCCCCTGAGACTCAATCGCGTGCTCTAGGAAGGAAATTAGCAACGGAAAGTTTTAATTTTACCTTCCCCGCTGTTATATAGTATTTTTATTTTAACTCAGACTAAAATTTTTATTTGGTAATAAAAAGAAAAAGTAAGTCTTAGGATAACAACCAACCGTGAACGAAAACCAGCTTAACACGTTTGCTTCTTGATTAAAATATATAAATTTACCATTTTGTCGTCGTGAGGGCGCCGTAGCTCAGTTGGTTAGAGCGCCTGTCTAGTAAACAGGAGGTCGAGGGTTCAAATCCCTCCGGTGCCTTACTTTATGTCTTTTTTCTTTTCTTTTCTTTTACAAGAACGTCTACTTTGGGGGCTGAGGCTGAATTTTCTTTTATTTGACGATTTGGGCCTGAGAACGTTCTTAACATGTTCCTGAAGCTGTGTAGAATGATATCCTATCAAGTAAAAACCGCATTGTTAATGTTAAAAAAATTCCCGTAGTATTTGAGTTAATTTTCCTTTTAGAACACAGCTTTACGTTATTTTTACCTTCATTTTATATTTCCCTAATATTATTTAAAAGCCAACCTCTAAAGTCTTTGTTATCGAATGCAATTCATTCTAAAATCAGTTTATAACCGGCTGTTCATCTAATAGAGAAAATCCTTACTGAATGTCCAGTTAACTATTAAGGAAGATTTAACGACAATTAGCCTCAAAGTACGAGAAAAATAGTTTCAATTACTCAATTAAAAACCTGAATAATAAAATAATGCATTGCAACAATTTTGATTGGTTTGTATTGGCAATGTAAACTTTGCCGTCATTGGAGTGAGCTTTCCGTCAACTTAGGAGTTACTTGCACATTACAATCCCATTCTTTTTTCCTAGTCAAAGTAACAAGCTTTCTTCCTAAACCTTTGACTCCTAAGAGTGACTAGCATCTAATTTCTCCTTTCAATGCCCCCCTGAATTAAATATAAAGGTCACAGGAATAAAGGAAATGATCACCAGAAGCTCTTTATTGCTAACCGGATTCTCCTTCTACGCGCCTTAAGAAATGTGTTGAAAACAATATGGAGAATATGCAGACTCAATATCTTCTCCAGCAGGATGAGACCTTCGTTCGCTCAAGCTGTAACACCTTTCCTTCTCACCCCTTACCGCATCTTCAATTGAAACCTTCCCTTCTCCTAAGTCCCCCCTGATAACAAGAAATCTGCCCCCTTAAGGTCGGCGAATAATCATGGGAAATAGTTTCCGGAGTCTGTGTACCTGCCATCCATTGTTGACCATTGTTAATCAAGTTTCGGATTCCGAGAATTCATTTTAAGGTCACTGACCACAGAGAGTTCATCAAAAAATGAATGGAATAAGAGCTCTTCTATTTCTTGGATAAAGTTCTTTACCGGCTAGTCCGTCAAATTCTTGTTGATATGCTCTGTGTTTTTTGTATGAATACGTTATCAGTGTTATCAAAGTAGCAAGAAGAAATATGGCTGCTGGCAAAACCCACGAAGTCAAGAAAAATCCCAGCCACGATAATAATTCACATAAATAGTGAGGGCATGACACCAGTTCAAACAGACATCCACGCGGCAAAACATGGTGGGATTCGTTAGAAAAGGAATCCTCGCGTTTCTCCCTTCGAAACTTCCGAAGTTTAAGATGGCAGAGGCCATTACCAAATTCGCCCAAAATGAAGACGACAGAGCCAGCCACGACAAGCGCTAGAAATGTTTGTCTGTATCCGTTGTCATGGCGTACTGAAATTCCAATCCAGAAAGCGAAGAACCAATAGTAGATAGGTGCTCCTATACTCTCTATGATAGACATTCTTCTGCGGTAGTCGTGAACAAAGAGAACTTCGATCGTTCGGCGTAAAAAGTGCAACGACCAAAGCCCCACGAAAAGGTACTCTAAATATCGATTTTCGGCAAATTTCGCATCGTTTGAGACTAGGAGACAACCTGTTGCGGGAAATTTCTTTATGGATATCCCAGGTACTTTCAGAGCTATAAAAAATGCAGCAAGGGTTCCAATGTAAGTAACACTATTCACAACTACAGGGTTAAATCCATGTCCACTGTTCGCCATGATTGACCTTGAGTAAAGCGATTGCGTGACAAGAATGAAAGTTACATCAAAATTCACATGGCAACCAGAAGGACAATCAGACATGGTTTGATGCTACTTTTAAGAAAAATCTGAAAATTGGAATGAGCAATGTGGAGAAAATACATCTTGTCGGTGCACCTCTTGGAAACAAAACCTCAGAATTTTTTGGTCTGGATCTCCCTTCATTGCAGTATTATTTCAGGTGAATTAAAAATGTAAACAGAACAAAAGAATAGCCCATATGTTCATTATACACAAATTTATTTGAATAAATGAACCCTACAAAATTTTTGGAAAGGGGGGTAAGGATCCCTTACAAAGTTTTTATTCGGTACTTTGTAATTTTGAATAAAACTGTATTCTTTTAGTAAACCTGAAAAAACTGCAATCTCTTTACTATCCCCCCAAAAAGTTTTGAAATGAAAGAAAGGCAAAAGCAAAAGTTAGACGACACAAAGTCTTGTGACTAATTAATCAAAGCTATTAAAATTTCCGAAAACAACAAATACATTTAGGACATATATCTCCGTTCAGGAGCTTATTAAGTAATGGGCTCCTGTCCGGTAGAGACGTTGTCTAAAGTAAAAAATTCCTCCATTTTGGAAATTCCTTAGGTTTTTTTTTAGGATAAGTGGTTATTGTGATCAATTTAATCATTGGTAAATTTGGCTGAGTGTACTTTACAGAATTGGCTGCTTCAAATGTCCGATTACAGCCAGATGTCCGATTACACTGTCCCTTTACACTGTTTGATTACAGCTGTACAGAATGATTAGTGAAAAATAAAGCAGTTAATGCACCATTCACATTTGAGGAAATTGTAATAATTGCGATAAATGGTGTTGGCGGCTCACGCGGCATTACCTCTAGAGAACATTTCTGTCACATCCCTTTTATAAGTAACCATTCGGTAATGACGTTTCAAGCACGGATTTTTCGATTATATTTCTAATTTTCGAGACGTGTCGCAACCATAAGCGAGCGAACGACCATGTATTCTATTTTGTCACGCCACGCTAGATGGATTGAGTTTCAAATGCCCACGCCACGTCCGACTTTTTCGTTTTTTTTTTTCATTTTTTTTTTTTTTTTTTTTTTTTTTACATTCTTGGTTCCTGATGACGCATTCTCCCAGCTAAGCGACGTCAATTTCGTTAAGTAAGAGAAAGTCTACTTTCGACCCCGCTAGTTTTGCTTGATAAACAGCATGGGCGCCAAGATCTAGATTGTCTCAACACAGCAGGATCGGTGTCGGATGTGTCGTTGCTATACGGAAGGTGGAAATGTTCTGATTGGTTTCGCGGGAAAAATAGCAAGACGAATTTGGCGATTTCGCGCCATTTTGCGTCTTACCGCTGGAGCTATGTACCACTGGCTTACACAAGATGGCGACTGAAGAGAGGAAAGTAAACATTGGTTCCCCGACGAATTCTGCCAAAGATATCGCCGCTTTGGCAAAGTAATTAGTGCAGTTATATCGTGTCATGCCACTGCAATAGGATTATCTCGGGGAAGGTTTATTCTTTTGATCTGAAACTTGGTGAACCAAAACTACATACGATGAGGAAAATTTAGTTAGTCTGCCACGGTCCGCCACGGTCCGCCACAAATTGACCGAATGAGTAACTATTGGATCTCAAGTTTAATTTTTTTCATCTTTTGAGGATAAATTTATCCAAACAAAATATTATTTGGCGTTGAAAATCTTTATTACCGTTGTCTTTGTGCATGTACCGACTCACTTTGAGTAAATCAAAATAGCTTCAATTTGGGAAAGTTTTCCTTATAATGGCCTTCTGGACATACCCTTCATTAGCATGCAATTCCACACATTCCATGGCATTACGCTAAACGAGTTTTTTTTTTTCCAGACTGCTAGCAGAATCATCAAAGAAAAAAAATTCCAAGAAACTGCAACGAGTCTGTCTCAAGACCTAGGAGTTTCCACAAAGAGTGTCCGATTTGTAATAGACTTAGTGTCAAGTGCTACAAATATAATCTTGAGGCAGTGGGCCACGTTTACGGCAGCTTGCCTTTATATTTCGTGTTGGGGATCACTCCTTTTCTTACACTGGTTGTAGACTTTGGAATAGTCTCCCACAAGATGAAATGCTAGTGGTATTTTCAAGTTACGAAGTTGAAGAAACTAGAACTAAGTGACGTAAATTGTAATTGCACCTCATTGTGCGTTCACCTCAACACTAGATCTCGCATGTTTGCCTCCAGTTCATTTAAAGAATTGTATGTAGCGAAGTATTTAGGGAACAGAAAGAGGTGGGGAGGCAGTACAAATCACATCAGATCCATTCTTTCACCCTTAATTTTCCTTGCTACTCTACCAATGCAAGACTGATTTTGTTGATTAACAATCTTTTAATAGGTAATGTGATAAATAATGAATACAACATTTGCGATGCATGTCAAGAAAAGCAAAAGCAAAAGTTTTTTATGACCATTCTAAAATAGAAAAAGGCATATAAATATATACATTAACAAAAAGGCTTAAACTTAATCAGAAGCCAACAGAGATTGCTTCTGCAGCTTTGTTTTGTATACTTCAAGCATCAAGTTTTTCAAGTACTCAATCTCCTTAGACAAAGAATTAACTTGTTCTTTGAGTTCACCATTATCTTTCTCGAGCCCAGCAAGTTCTTTTGCTATGACATCTTGCTCCTCACGCTTTTTGACCCGGTAACGAGTGGCAGCATCTTTGTTCTGCTCACGCTTTCTTTTCCTTTGCTGTGGAGTTTTAGCCTTTGTTGGTTTGTCTTTTGGATATGGTGCGTAGTAGTTGACCTTTACACAGGTCGTAGTTGTGGGAGAAGTTTCCACAGTCTTCTTGACTGGTGTTTCAGGGGATGAGGGGTTAGAGAGGCTCTCTTCACTAAGAGAGGCCACTGGGGTTGTTGCCTCGAATAGATCTGACCCAGGGGACAAGACAGAGGGGTGAGACCCCATGTCAACATCAGGAACACTCTGCAAGGGTGATGTAGGACCAACTTGTTCCTCTGTCACTATTACTGTGTCAACTATGCATTTATTAGTGGTGAGCAGCTTCCTGAGAATTTCATCCACATTTGCAAAGAGGTTGCCATCAGAGGATTCTTCTGATACTGGTGAATCTGTAATTTCTGAAGTGACAACACTTTCTGGCTCACTAGAAATACATGGTTCTGAAGACGTGAATTCAAAATCCCCAAGGTTCACCAGGTCACCACCATCAACTGAGAGAATTGACTCTGTGCTATGGAACTCGAGTTTCTGTGTCATCCAGTCAGAATCTGACAGACCTCCACCACCGACTGAAATTCAAAAGAAAACTTTTTGTTAATACTTCAGCACAGACCCTAACCGATAAAAACATCTCCATGGCTCTGAGCATCAATGATTCACAATAGAAAATAAGCTGTACAATTTGATCTCAGCTTACATAACAGAACTGATGCAACAACATGATGCAATAAAAGTCAGTTGACGAGAAACCTCACTAATTTATTACGAATAAATTTCTTGTTTACACGTATGGACTATTAATGATCAACTCGTGGGGAAATTAGTTTCAGTTTCGTCCTAAAGGAAGACGGCAGTCATCAATTTGTTCAGTACCTAGAAAAAAATTACTAACCTTCAACATCGAATTCCTCAAGTAGATCTGCCGTCGATAAACTGAGCGGTGACGAGGCGTCGAGTTGATGCTTCAAGGAATCTGTCTCTTCTATGTACACGTCACATTGTTCAAGAGTTCCGCTTTCCCCGAAGATCGGGATCGGGAACGAACTGAAGAGCTCCAGCTCTTCCAGAGCCTGAGATGTCGAAAATAATGAAATGTCTTCCATGTTCTTGGTTTCGTGATACGTTCTGGCCATCTATAATCGATGTAAGAGAGAGAACTCGGGCGCGTTTAGGGAAACTGAAAGTTAAAAATCGAAAACCAACGTAAGTACACGAAATTCGCACGCGATTGAGTCAACACTTTAAAATTTAAGTTTCAGAGGCGATTTCGCTCTAAATCAACCATTTATTCAACCATATTTACGATTAGATGCACTTGAAAGTTCCTTGGTCGTTTAACAGCGAGTTTTTTTTCATCTTCAATTAAGTTTCGTAGTAAACTTTAGAGTAAACAAAAGAACGGAGACGCGTTGTTCTAAGGCGATTTTTCGTTTGCGTCGAGAACTCGCCAAAAATTTAAATTACTCTGGGTTTCTAAGAATCGGGAAGTATACACATTGAGTGAAGTACTTACTCCATGGTTGTACTGGTGCAAATAAATTGCACGGAAAGGTTTTGCCAAGAAGCTTTCACACCGCCATTTTCAAGAGGGATGATGAAATTTGTTATGAAAGGGTCGTGCCGCGTGTCTTGAAGCCTTGGCTGATGCAACACCACGCCATAATTAGTAACTGACGTGTCTCTGACCAATCAGCAGCCAGATTTATTTTGAGACAACCAATCAGCGTCAAAACGTTTGACGTAAGTGAGCTTGACTTACCAGTTGTCAAACTGGTTTCACGTGGACTTTGCACGCCTTTCCACCTGGCTTACGTAGGTGATCCCGTGTTCTCCGTGGGATCTAGTGTTTGGCGGGAATATTTGGCGGCAAAGAAATGTGGTCGAATCTGTATTAAGCGGTCACCCACGCGGAACGGCGCTTAATACGGGTTAACTGGTAAATACAGGTTGTACAAAATGGGGGCGTTTTAGAAATCGCCATTTTACGCCTTGGTTGACCATATAATATACAACAACTCGCTCATTATTACTGCTAACATTGATTTCCGACGATAAAAATGGAGTGAAATATAATTGAAAGATTATTGTTATTTTTATACGAGTGGTTCTGCTTAATTTACCGTTCAATACAGGTGGAGGACATTACAAAAGGGTTGTTGGGACTCAGTAAAGGGTGACTGCGATCGCTTTAAGAGAGGTGAAAATTACAGTTATTAACAGGTCACAATCTCGGAACTTTGAAAACC